TCCCTCTGTCTGTCCCTCTGTCTGTCCCTCTGTCTGTCTTTCTATTACTTTGTGTCTCTGCTGTTATGTTTTCCCTCTGTCCATCCCTGTTTCTCTGTCTCTCTGTCCCTCCCTGTCCCCGTCCCTCTGTCCATCCCTGTCCCCGTCTCTCTGTCCATCCCTGTCTCTCTGTTGCTCTGTCCCTGTCCCCCTCTCCCTGTCCATCCCTGTCCCCCTCTCCCTGTCCATCCCTGTCCCCCTCTCCCTGTCCCTCTGTCCATCCCTGTCCCTGTCTCTCTGTCCATCCCTGTCCCTGTCCCTGTCTCTCTGTCCATCCCTGTCCATCCCCATCCCTGTCCCTGTCCATCCCCATCCCTGTCCATCCCCATCCCTGTCCATCCCCATCCCTGTCCCTGTCCCTCTGTCCATCCCTGTCCATCCCCGTCCCTGTCCATCCCCATCCCTGTCCCTCGGGGACTTTTCCCAGTGATTGTTTTTCTCTTATTATGCAACTTGTTTTGACACAAACAGAGTGACTTTTGATAAGTCGGGGCGCCTCTAGGGGCCGGTTGCAGCAACCGCAGCCAAACTTAGAAAAACAAGGGACACACAGAGACTGCTCAGGGGCCCCAGTGCTGGTCCTCCGGGGGAAGGGGGGGGCATCTCACTGCGAGGGGCGATGGAGGGTGTCAGGATGAGGAATGGGGGGGTGACAACATTTAGATTTATCCCCTTTAGTCAGACCCAGGAGCGGACTGACCATTCAGGCACTCAGCCACTGCCCGAGGGCCCGGGGTCAGTAGGGGGCCCCATGAGATGCCCCTGGTACCTTTTTCATAGGCTTTTTTGAGTGTGGACAAGGACACAGGGGCCCCATGATCCCCTATTGCCCGGGGCCCCATGAGTTGTCAGTCCGCCCCTGCGGGGGCCCCATGATCCCCTATTGCCCGGGGCCCCATGAGTAGTCAGTCCGCCCCCGGTCAGACTCCACTCCAAACTGAATTGCTGTGAAATCCTGAAGTGAGAATTCCTTCTCTAAGCCGCACGACAGAGGCAGCCGTTGGGTGAACTTTTATTTTTTTTGCAGCGCTGCAAGTCACCGGTCACATCGCCGCCATTTGTGCGCAATTTCACCGCGATTTCTGAGGACTTTTCTGCGACTTTTGTCATTTGCGGAGCGATTTCCATTCCATTCTAAGTCTGTGAAATCGCAACAAAACGGCAGAAAAAGTCACGCAAGAACTGCTGCAGAAATGGCGCCGCAGCAAATCGCACGTTAGGACGCCGACATTCATTAGATGCCATTTCAATTCACGAATCGCAGCGGTGGGACCGGCACTAAGGGAGAGGGCGGGGTCACCTGACAAGCCGAACTTTAGACTTTACCCCCCCCCCTTCCCCTCCCCCACACGTCAGTGAAATGTGTTCGCGGATTCGTTATGTAAGTCGTTTTGCTGCAGCCGACAACTTGTACCCCTGAAGTCCATCTACAATCCGTATTCTTCGTTTCGGGTGGAGTACGGATTCTACTTTTTCCTTCATGTTGTCTGTTCCCCATTGAGCAGATTTCCTTCACTTCCTGTTGCACGGCCACAACAGGAAGTGAGCGGAGTCCCCTCTTAGTTTGTCACCGGAACAGGTGTCCCCGTTGGAAGATTTCCTCTGTATTCCTGCTCTGGTGACAACGCAGAATGTTTGCCTTTCCCATCACTTCCTGTCTCGGTGACACCAGGACAGGTGGGGAGGAAGGGGTTCTATCTAGCCGTTCACACTGCATCCAAAGCGAAGTCCCTGAAGTATGAGATCCTACAAGCCGTCTGCGCAGCGCGGTGACCTTGCAGCAGATTAATGATTGTCGCTTTACAGCAGGCCGGGGCCACACTGTTCCTGCCTTTATAGGGCCAATCAGTGATGGGGAGAGGAGACGTTTACAACCCAATAAAGGATAAAGGTCACAGATATGACAACTGACACGGAGTGGGAGAAACGTGACAGGGGCCACGGGGGAAACGTGACGGGGGCCACGGGAGAATTGTGACGGGGGCCACGGGAGAATTGTGACGGGGGCCACGGGAGAATTGTGACGGGGGCCACGGGAGAAACGTGACGGGGGCCACGGGAGAATTGTGACGGGGGCCACGGGGGAAACATGACGGGGGCCACGGGGGAAACGTGACAGGGGCCACGGAGGAAACGTGATGGGGTAACGGGGGACACGTGACGGGGGCCACGGGGGAAACGTGACGGGGGCCACGGGGGAAACGTGACGGGGGCCACGGGGGAAACGTGACAGGGGCCACGGGGGAAACGTGATGGGGTCACAGGGGACACGTGACAGGGGTCACGGAAGAAATGTGACGGGGGCCACGGGGGAAACGTGATGGGGTCACAGGGGACACGTGACAGGGGTCACGGAAGAAATGTGACGGGGGCCACAGGGGAAACGTGACGGGGGCCACGGGAGAAATGTGTGACGGGGCCACGGCGGAAATGTGACGGGGGTCACGGGGGAAACGTGACGGGTCTCGGAAGAAATGTGACAGGGGTCACCTTCGCCAATTATCACCTGAATTCCAATAATGGGGAAATTATTTACTGGAAAATCATCCAAAGCCACAAACACTGACAGCTGCCCTGCAGGTGGCCTGGTCCTGCACTGTATACACTGTGGTATACATTACATTCTCCTGACCCTACACCAAATAGACTGTGGTACACATTACATACTTCTGACCTCTGCACTCTATATACTGTAGTATAAATTACATACTACTGATCCCTACATCAAATAGAATGTTGTTTACATGACATACTTCTGACCCCTGCATTGAATACATTGTATTGTAAGTGACATTCTCCTGACTCCTCTACCAAATAAAAATTGTACATTACATACTCCTGACCCTCGCACTGAGTTGTACATGACATACCCCTGACCCTCACTGAGTTGTACATGACATACCCCTGACCCTCGCACTGACTTGTACATGACACACCCCTGACCCTCGCACTGAGTTGTACATGACATACCCCTGACCCTCGCACTGAGTTGTACATGACATACCCCTGACCCTCACTGAGTTGTACATGACATACTCCTGACCCTCGCACTGAGTTGTACATGACATACCCCTGACCCTCGCACTGAGTACGCTGTGTTACATGACATACCCCTGACCCTCGCACTGAGTTGTACATGACATACCCCTGACCCTCACTGAGTTGTACATGACACACCCCTGACCCTCGCACTGAGTTGTACATGACATACCCCTGACCCTCACTGAGTTGTACATGACATACCCCTGACCCTCGCACTGAGTTGTACATGACATACCCCTGACCCTCGCACTGAGTTGTACATGACATACCCCTGACCCTCACACTGAGTTGTACATGACATACCCCTGACCCTCGCACTGAGTTGTACATGACACACCCCTGACCCTCGCACTGAGTTGTACATGACACACCCCTGACCCTCACACTGGGTTGTACATGACATACCCCTGACCCTCGCACTGAGTTGTACATGACACACCCCTGACCCTCGCACTGAGTTGTACATGACACACCCCTGACCCTCGCACTGAGTTGTACATGACGTACTCCTGACCCTCGCACTGAGTTGTACATGACATACCCCTGACCCTCGCACTGAGTTGTACATGACACACCCCTGACCCTCACACTGAGTTGTACATGACACACCCCTGACCCTCGCACTGAGTTGTACATGACATACCCCTGACCCTCACACTGAGTTGTACATGACACACCCCTGACCCTCGCACTGAGTTGTACATGACATACCCCTGACCCTCACACTGAGTTGTACATGACATACCCCTGACCCTCACACTGAGTTGTACATGACACACCCCTGACCCTCGCACTGAGTTGTACATGACGTACTCCTGACCCTCGCACTGAGTTGTACATGACATACCCCTGACCCTCACACTGAGTTGTACATGACATTCCCCTGACCCTCGCACTGAGTTGTACATGACGTACTCCTGACCCTCGCACTGAGTTGTACATGACGTACCCCTGACCCTCGCAGTGAGTTGTACATGACACACCCCTGACCCTCGCACTGAGTTGTACATGACACACCCCTGACCCTCACACTGGGTTGTACATGACACACCCCTGACCCTCGCACTGAGTTGTACATGACACACCCCTGACCCTCGCACTGAGTTGTACATGACATACTCCTGACCCTCGCACTGAGTTGTACATGACATACCCCTGACCCTCGCACTGAGTACGCTGTGTTACATGACATACCCCTGACCCTCGCACTGAGTTGTACATGACACACTCCTGACCCTCGCACTGAGTTGTACATGACATACCCCTGATCCTCGCACTGAGTTGTACATGACATACCCCTGACCCTCACTGAGTTGTACATGACATACCCCTGACCCTCGCACTGAGTTGTACATGACATACCCCTGACCCTCGCACTGAGTTGTACATGACATACCCCTGACCCTCACACTGAGTTGTACATGACATACCCCTGACCCTCGCACTGGGTTGTACATGACATACCCCTGACCCTCGCACTGAGTTGTACATGACACACCCCTGACCCTCGCACTGAGTTGTACATGACACACCCCTGACCCTCGCACTGAGTTGTACATGACGTACTCCTGACCCTCGCACTGAGTTGTACATGACATACCCCTGACCCTCGCACTGAGTTGTACATGACATACCCCTGACCCTCGCACTGAGTTGTACATGACACACCCCTGACCCTCGCACTGAGTTGTACATGACACACCCCTGACCCTCGCACTGAGTTGTACATGACATACCCCTGACCCTCACACTGAGTTGTACATGACACACCCCTGACCCTTGTCACATGGATGTATCCCTCAGTGGTGGACTCCCGTAGCATACGGTGCTGGCTCCTCCCTCTTGTCCGGTGGGAATGATCTGATTGTTTCTTCTGTGGGAAGGCCCCGCCCCTCTCTAACTGTCCCCATGTCTGTCCTTCCAGCTGCAGAAGAAGATGAGGTCCCGGAACGGATCCCAGAGGTTCTTCGAGACGTTCCTGCGAGTTCTAATAACTCTGAGCACTGGGACGGCCATTGTCCTCTCCTCCATCTCCATCTGTGATGGGAACTGGCTGCGGGCCCCGGGGCCCCTCTTCGGGGTGTGGGACACCTGCCAAGCTGAGAAGAAGCCGCCGTGCTCCGAGGAGATGGTCAGACTGAGCACAGTGATGGTGGTGGTGAGGACCTCCGTGTGCCTGGCTGTGGTCCTGGCCATCTTTGGGTTGGAGTTGATGATGGTGTCCCAGCTGTGTGATGACGGCCATTCCCGGAAGAGGTGGGCCTTGGGCTGCGCCATGCTGCTGGTGGGGTTCCTCCTGTCCTCCACGGGGACCGTGACCTACATCTTCCTGCTGAGGGACATCTACGGGACCTTCACACTGACCTTCTGGGCCCAGTTCCTGGCCGTCTTCCTCTTCTTCCTCAACGCCAGCAGTGGAATTTACTTGAATCGCTTGACGGCATGAGATCTGTCCAGGAGAAAGGGGACTCCTCCTCTGGGGCCCAGCGGGACTCTGCAGATGAGAGGGGACTCCTCCTCTGGGGCCCAGCGGGACTCTGCAGATGAGAGGGGACTCCTCCTCTGGGGCCCAGCGGGACTCTGCAGATGAGAGGGGACTCCTCCTCTGGGGCCCAGCAGGACTCTGCAGATAAGAGGGGACTCCTCCTCTGGGGCCCAGCGGGACTCTGCAGATAAGAGGGGACTCCTCCTCTGGGGCCCAGCGGGACTCTGCAGATGAGAGGGGACTCCTCCTCTGGGGCCCAGCGGGACTCTGCAGATGAGAGGGGACTCCTCCTCTGGGGCCCAACGGGACTCTGCAGATGAGAGGGGACTCCTCCTCTGGGGCCCAGCGGGACTCTGCAGATGAGAGGGGACTCCTCCTCTGGGGCCCAGCGGGACTCTGCAGATGAGAGGGGACTCCTCCTCTGGGGCCCAGCGGGACTCTGCAGATGAGAGGGGACTCCTCCTCTGGGGCCCAGCGGGACTCTGCAGATAAGAGGGGACTCCTCTCCTGGGGCCCAGAGGAACTCTGCAGATAAGAGGTGACTCCTCCTCTGGGGCCCAGTGGAGATAAATGATGACCAATTCTGGGGCCCCCCGGTCCTTCAGACAGGACTATCTGGCTTCATATTACCCCTGTGGGGGCGGGGCCAGACACCCCCCTATGCACTGAGGAGCGGGTGGACTCCGCACACAATGGAGATTAAAATGTATTTTTGTCCCCACAATGGACGCCCGCTCCGCCCACACTGCTGAACTCCGCCCACACTGCTGAACTCCGCCCACCCCGCTCTGCGCCCAGTAAAGGACGGACATCTCTGGACAGAAGTCGTTCCTTCATTCCGGCACTCCGAGGAATGCGCCGCGCCTGGCTCTCTGACTGCACTTTTCTGGGACCGCACTGATTTCCGGTTGGTGGGTCTCCAGCTGGAAACCATTGGAGATGCTAATGGACAGAGTGACTGTGATTGGATTGCTGTGTGATGTCCTGAGAGGGATGGGAGGATCCTGAAAATGCTGGCTGCCTGGCTGTCATGATGATCCTCTGGATTCAGTATTGTCTCTGGCTCAGAACAAATATGCACTTTCATTTTCTAGTCTGGGGGCTGCTTGCAGCCGACAGCCAGGCAAAGAGCATTTTCAGAGGATCACTGATGAAGCCCTCGAATTCCTCTCAGTTCAGTTAATTCAAAATAAATTTCACCAAATTCAGTAAAATCTGCTGTGACTCCATCACTCCACATAGCTGGTCCCCCCCCCCCTCCGCAGTGTCAGTGTCCCGGGATCGGGGGTGTCAGTGTCCCGGGATCGGGGGTGTCAGTGTCCCGGGATCGGGGGTGTCAGTGACCCGGGATCGGGGGTGTCAGTGTCCCGGGATCGGGGGTGTCAGTGACCCGGGATCGGGGGTGTCAGTGTCCCGGGATCGGGGGTGTCAGTGACCCGGGATCGGGGGTGTCAGTGTCTCGGGATCGGGGGTGTCAGTGACCTGGGATCGGGGGTGTCAGTGTCTCGGGATCGGGGGTGTCAGTGACCTGGGATCGGGGGTGTCAGTGTCTCGGGATCGGGGGTGTCAGTGACCTGGGATCGGGGGTGTCAGTGTCCCGGGATCGGGGGTGTCAGTGACCCGGGATCGGGGGTGTCAGTGTCTCGGGATCGGGGGTGTCAGTGACCTGGGATCGGGGGTGTCAGTGACCCGGGATTGGGGGTGTCAGTGTCTCGGGATCGGGGGTGTCAGTGACCTGGGATCGGGGGTGTCAGTGACCCGGGATCGGGGGTGTCAGTGTCCCGGGATCGGGGGTGTCAGTGTCTCGGGATCGGGGGTGTCAGTGACCTGGGATCGGGGGTGTCAGTGTCCCGGGATCGGGGGTGTCAGTGACCCGGGATCGGGGGTGTCAGTGTCTCAGGATCGGGGGTGTCAGTGACCCGGGATCGGGGGTGTCGGTGACCTGGGATCGGGGGTGTCAGTGTCTCAGGATCGGGGGTGTCAGTGACCCGGGATCGGGGGTGTCGGTGACCCGGGATCGGGGGTGTCAGTGTCTCAGGATCGGGGGTGTCAGTGACCTGGGAGCGGGGGTGTCAGTGTCCCGGGATCGGGGGTGTCAGTGACCTGGGATCAGGGGTGTTGGTTCCCAGGATCCGGGATGTCAGGCTGTCAATGTCCTGGAATTAGGGGTGTCAGTGTCCTGGGATCAGAGGGGGGGGGGTCGTTGTCCCAAGTTCAGGGGTGTCAGTGACCCGGGATCAGGAATGTTGGTTCTCTGGATGAGGGTTGTTGGTGTCCCGGTATCAGGGGGGTCAGTGACCTGGGATCAGGAGTGTCAGTGTCCCGAGATCGGGGGTGTCAGGCTGTCAGTGTCCCGGGATCAGGGTGGCCAGTGACCTGGGATCAGGGGTGTTGGTTCCCAGGATCAGGGGTGTCAGTGACCTAGGATCAGGGGGGGCTGTACGTATGATCAGGGGGTCAGTGACCTGGGATCAGGGGTGTGAGTTCTCTGGATCAGGGTTGTTGTTGGTGTCCTGGGATCAGGGTTGTCAGTGACAAAGGATCGGGGGTGTCAGTGATCTGGGATCGGGGGTGTCAGTGAGTCAGTTTCCCAGGATCAGGGGTGTCGGTTCCCAGAATTCAGGGGTGTCAGTGACCTTGAATTCGGGATGTCAGGCTGTCAGTGTCCTGGGATTAGGGGTGTCAGTGTCCTGGGATCAGGGGTGTCAGTGTCTTGGGATCAGGGGGGGTCGTTGTCCCAGGTTCAGGGGTGTCAGTGACCTAGGATCAGGGGTGTTGGTTCTCTGGATGAGGGTTGTTGGTGTCCCAGTATCAGGGGGGTCAGTGACCTGGGATCAGAGGTGTTGGTTCCCGGGATCAAGGGTGTCAGCATCTTGGGATCAGGGGTGTCAATGTCCCGGGATCGGGGGTGTCAGGCTGTCAGTGTCCTTTGGATCAGGGGTGTCAGTGACCTGGGATCGGAGGTGTCAGTGTCCAGAGATCGGGGGTGTCAGGCTGTCAGTGTCCTTTGGATCAGGGTATTGGTGTCCCGGGATCAGGGGTGTCAGTGACCTGGGATCAGGGGTGTCGGTGACCTGGGATCAAGGGTATCGGTGTTGGTTCCCGGGATCAGGGGTGTCAGGCTGTCAGTGTCCTTTGGATCAGGGTTGTCAGTGATCTGGGATCAGGGGTGTCAGTGAGTCAGTTTCCCAGGATCACGGGTGTCGGTTCCCAGAATTCAGGGGTGTCAGTGACCTTGAATCCGGGATGTCAGGCTGTCAATGTCCTGGGATTAGGGGTGTCAGTGACCTGGGATTGGGGGTGTCAGTGTCCCGAGATCGGGGGTGTCAGGCTGTCAGTGTCCTGGGATCACGGGGGGTCAGTGATCTGGGATCACGGGGGGTCAGTGATCTGGGATCGGGGGGAGTCGTTGTCCCAGGTTCAGGGGTGTCAATGTCCCGGTATCGGGGTCGGTGACCTGGGATCAGAGGAGTTGGTTCCCGGGATCAAGGGTGTCAGCATCTTGGGATCAGGGGTGTCAGTGACCTGGGATCAGGGGTGTCAATGTCCCGGGATTGGGGGGTGTCAGGCTGTCAGTGTCCTTTGGATCAGGGTATTGGTGTCCCGGGATCAGGGGTGTTAATGTGTCAGTGACCTGGGATTCGGGGGTGTCAGTATCTTGTGATCAGGGGTGCCGGTTCCTGGGATCAGGGGGGTCAGTGACCCAGGATGAGGGAAGGTGGTGAACAGGGATCAGGGGCGTTGGTGACCCGGGATCAAGGATGTTGGTTTCCGGGATCGGGGGGGGGTCAATGACCCAGGATCAGGTGTTGGTTTTTATAATTAGGGGTGTCAGTGTCCCGGGATTGGAGGTGTCAGTGACCTGGGATCAGAGGTGTTGGTGTCCTTCGATCAGGGGTGTCGGTTGTCAGGATCAGGGGTGTCAGTGACCATGGATCAGGGGTGTCGGTTGCCAGGATCAGGGGTGTCAGTGACCTGGGATTGGGGGTGTCAGTAACCTGGGATTGGGGGTGTCAGTGTCCCGAGATCGGGGGTGTCAGGCTGTCAGTGTCCCGGGATCAAGGGGGGTCAGTGACCTGGGATCAGGGGTGTCATTGTCCCAGGTTCAGGGGTGTCAGTGTGTCAGTGACCCGAAATCAGGGGTGTCGGTGTCCTGAGATCGGAGGTGTCAGTGTACCGGGATCAGGGGTGTCAGTGGCCTGAGATTGGAGGTGTCAGTGACCTGGGATCAGGGGTGTCAGTGATCTGGGATCAGGGGTGTCAGTGACCTGGGATCAGGGGTGTCAGTTCCTGGGATCAAGGGGTGTCAGTGACCTGGGATCAGGGGTGTCAGTGACTTAGGATCAGGGGGGGCTGTACGTATGATCAGGGGGTCAGTGACCAGGGATCAGGGGGTGTCAGGCTGTCAGTGACCAGGGATCAGGGGGTGTCAGTGACCAGGGATCGGGGGTGTCAGGCTGTCAGTGTCCCGGGATCAGGAATGTTGGTTCTCTGGATGAGGGTTGTTGGTGTCCCGGTATCAGGGGGTCGGTGACCTGGGATTGGGGTTGCGGGGGGAGGGGGTTTGGGGGGGTGCGGAAGGAGGGGTTGTGGGGGGCGGTTGGGGGTGCAAGCAGCTGGTCTTGCCCCGGGCACAAAGTCCCCCCCCCCGGGTATGAGATATCGGCACACAGTCCCCCCCCCCCGGGGTATGAGATATCGGCACACAGTCCCCCCCCCCGGGTATGAGATATCGGCACACAGTCGTCCCCCCCCGGGGTATGAGATATCGGCACACAGTCCCCCCCCCCCCCCCGGGGTATGAGATATCGGCACACAGTCCCCCCCCCCCCCCCGGGTATGAGATATCGGCACACAGTCCCCCCCCCCCCGGGGTATGAGATATCGGCACACAGTCCCCCCCCCCCGGGTATGAGATATCGGCACACAGTCCCCCCCCCCCGGGGTATGAGATATCGGCA